CGAGGCCATCGCAGGCCTCGCCCCCTTGTAGAGCTGCTGGCTCCTCCGAGCGGCTGCCCCGCTTCAGCGCCGCCTTGGCCGGGCTCTGGAGTGACCGTGGTCCGAGGGCGGCTGGTGGCTCCGCACTTGGTGGTTTCTGGCTAAACAGCAGCTCCCGGCGTGCAGCAGTGCTGCAGGGCTCCAGCCTCCTCCTGATTTCATCCGCGAGCTTCTCTCGGGGGATATTAACCTGCAAAGCGAACAGCAAGGAAGAGGCAGCAGTGGAGACTGGCTCCTCCTGGCCAACCCCCGGCCTAACAGGACCCACTAATCAGGCTCTCGCCCTCCTGTACAGGTTAGGCTGTCCAAGAGGGACAGTGAAGAATGAAAGGGCTCATTGCCGCCCTCCTCTTGAGGGGACAAACGTACACAAGGCTGCTAAGCAGAGCGCACTTTGATCCAGCCCTTTGCGGCGAGGCTTTTCTGGACACATCTGTCCAGAAAAGATTTGTGATGCTGCTACCAAAAGCAACACCATGTACAAGGGAAAGACCGGAGTCTTTTGGTGACCGTTCCTAGGTTTTGGAAGCACTTTTGAACCCTGGTGTAAAAGGTTGTTCTCACCTCTTCTCTTGTTGTGACAACCCGCAGTTTGACAACTCCATCTGTCAACTCTTGCTCTCCTATGATGGCTACAAGGGGAATCCCTGTGTCCTCACAGTAGTGCAGCTGTTTCAGCAGTTTAGGGTCCTTCCTGTAGAGCATCTCTGCCTAGACGGGAGCAGAGCAGCTACTTCGAATCATTAATGCAAAATTGGCTCTGACATATCACGGAGCAAAACAGCCAGCATCGAAACCCTACAGAAAACTGCCTCATTACTCCTGCAACAAGTGGTTGCCTGTGGTGCTCACAGTTGCTTTCCCCCTCCGTCTGCTATATTTGCCAGGCTCGGGTCTGAACAGACAGGCAGCGAGGTCGATCCCCTGGTCCTGTTACTGCAGTTGATGTAACAGGGCCAAGCCAACCTCCCTGCTTTACCTTGATGCCTGCATCCCATAGCTCGGAGATGAGCTTCAGTCTCGCCCCAAGTAAGTGTTTCTGCGGCGTAGCCACCAGCACTTGCGTCTCGGTCGCACGAACCTTCTCCCCGGAGGCCTGCAGGGACAGACACTTTGTGACTGGCTTTGAGGGAACCCACAGTTCTGCACAGGAGCTCACGGCATCCCTCCTCATCTCAGACCTTTAATGCTGGCTCACTCACACGAGTGGATTTAAAGCAAATCATTACTGTTCAGTGAAAGTTCCCGAGCACGGCCAACCTTGCAGAAGCCAAGAGAGTCCACAGTTAAGACAGGCTGGGCAAGTTTAATGATCCCCACAGCGAGTCTGCATGGTGACAGACTACTGTGCGCTGCTGTTTCTGTGGGATGTTGGCCTTCCTCTTTCCCAAATGGGACTTGGACAACCTTCCAACGTTTCTTCTGATTCTTCATGTACAAACGGATCGCCTTGGCCTCATTTACTATCAGTCATGAGCTTAGAACTAAATGCAAAGTGATTACTTTCCTCACGGGTTTTTATGGCACTCATTACAAAGTGACTTTCACAGCTGTTACTGAATTTATAATTTCACAACCCCTAGGGGAAAACCTTCACGCGGGAGAGACAAGAGTGAAGTGACTTGGGCCAAGCCATGAAAGAATCACAGAACTTGAGGCCCCTCTCTGACACTTCTTAAGTGTCTGCTGTGAAATGTCTGCCTTGAGATGCCAAGGACTGCCAGGCAGCAGAAGAGAGGAGGAAAGGGCTCTGTCCTTCACAGTGGTATTTGGGTTAGTGTCCTGTCCTCAAAGGCCCTTTCTTGGGCACTACGGAGCTAAGTGTTTCCTATTGTGTGCAACAAATACTGGCTGTTCCCAAGAGCTCTCATATCAAGCACTGCCTGCCACACTTACCTTCACCCTTCGCTCCATGATGGAGAAGATGCGCTCGATCCCAATGCTGACTCCCACACAGGGCACCTTCCGCCCCTTGGGATCAAACATCCCCACCAGCCCATCGTAGCGGCCACCTCCGGCTACGCTCCCGACGCTGACTGGCTCCTCCACGTGGTCGTTCTCCTGCTGCACCAGGACAGCCTCAAAGATCACCCCTGTGTAATAGTCCAGGCCTCGCGCCAGGCTCAGGTCAAAGCAGATCTGCAGGACACAGAACCCCGTCAGTGGGCGCAGCTGGGCAGCCCAGGGCTCCCTCCTGCCCCCAGCACCTCCTCACCTTCCCTGTGATGCCAAAGAGTGTCAGGTACTCAAAGAGCAGCTTCATGTCCCCCAGCCCCTCCTTGGCGAGCTTGTTCTGAGACAGCTTGGGGTCCTGCAGGAGCTGCTCGATCAGCTTCAGGCCACCTGTGAGAACAGGGCATGTGTGGGCTCTGCTGTGGGGCAGCAGCTGGGCAGCACCGGCCTCTGCCTGACCTGGCCGAGGGTTGTCGCACTTGTAGGGACAGTGCGGGGCAGGGTGTAGGGTGGCTTTTCAGGAGAAGGAATCCACCCCAGAGCTCACCGTGGAGCCGCACGTATTCCCCGATGCGATCTGCAGCCTCGGGAGAGAGCCCCTTCTCCCCCACCATCTCGCTCCTCACGTCCTCCCACGGCATCTGCAGGGGGAGACAGGGACATCCGTCACTGCAGGCCACCCTCCTCTGTGCTCTCCACTAGGCCATGGATTCAGGGCACGTGTGGGAGGAGAGTAGATGCTTCACACCAGCATTTTCGCTAATCATCTGCATCCATGTCACAGGAATCCTGCACGGAAATCCCAGGCAGCGCTAGGCTTGATTCTTGGATGCTGCTACCAGCCCCAGAGCTCCCAGAATCTCTCACGAACATTAATGAGTTAAATGCTGTGATACTTCAGAACGACATTTTTCTTTCCTTCTCCCAGCCCAGACATCCAGACCCTGAGACTGCGGGTGAAGTGACCTGCCCAAATTGCAGAACGCTCATTTTACAACTTCAGGGCTACTTCCAGGCACTTGCTGCTATCCCATGCAGTCCTGGAGGCAGGTGGCAGAGCCCCCAGAGCCCCCTTACCTTGTCCAGTTTGTCCACGGAAGAGCACGTAGATATGAACTTGCTCTCGGGGACGCCGCAGACGGCAAAGACGCCATGCAAAATGCGTCGGTCATTGACCTAGGCGAAGCAAGCAGGATGTTCACGCTAGCAGCCATCACCTCCTTGCAGCTTCTCCCAGCCCCTGCCCAGGAGGTGCTGGAAGATACGGCTGTTGGAATCTCCTTACACCTTTCCAGTGGTCTCCAAGACCCGAAGCTGGAAAAGGGAATGGAAGACACACGTGAAAGTCCCTTGGTTCTCGTCTCACCTTAATGAGAAAGTCCCCAAGCCTCAGTTCGCTCAGGATCTCATGCACTATTTTCAGGCATTCAGCATCAGGAATCATTGGGTCAAAGTGGCCAGCAATGTCAAAGTCCTGGGGCACAAGAAAAAGCAGAGAAATTCCTGGCATAGCTCCTGAAATCCATCCCATCTTCCATCATCCACAACTTCAGGACTGCTGCGCAGGGCATCTGCTCCAGCTGCGGAGCTCAAGGGCGCACAAAACCACAGAACTGCAGGGCAGCTGAACGCAACCAGCCCGCCTTCCATTCCCAGCTCTCCCTCTCCCCGGATTCCTGGCTGGAACGGGCCCAGTGGCTCTCGCACAGCAGCTACAACACTCACGCACTGGTAGAACTCCCTGTAGCGGCCCCGGCTTGTGGCCGGGCTGTCCCTCCTGTAGACCTTGGCGATGTGATAGCGCTTCATGGTGGTGATTTTGTTCATCGCTAAGTAGCGAGCGAAGGGCACCTGGCCCCAAGGGGTTAAGGAAGAAGCCAGCGATTCCCCGAGGGACAACCAGATCCCAAAGCCACCCGTGTCCTCCTGTCACTGTGCAAGCTGCTCCCTGTGTAACTGGTCTCCAAAGCACAGGCTAATGCACAGGAACTGCGTTTGGCTCTTCTAATTCAGGGACAATTTCATTTCCTTTCTAACTGCAGCACGTTAATACCTTGCCGTACATCAAAAACTGACCTTTCCTGGGTTGTTTTAGTTTCCTGAGCTGCAATACAGAAAATTCAGCGTATAGTGCAGGACATATTAAAGAAAACAGCTTTTAGAGACACGTGGAAATGGAGAGGGCACAGGAGGGATCCTTGTTCCGAATCTGCAGCCATTGCAGATTGACCCCCAAGCTCTGCAGGGGCCTGGGAAGGTGGCAGGGAAAAAGAAGTTCTTACAGGTGGGAATCTTGGTCAGTCAGCAATAAACCCAGTGTCGTGGTGGACACGGGGGGGCGAGAGAGCGCATCCACTGCAGAATTTGCGGGAGGCAACTAGAGACAGGAGCTGCACAGAGAGAGTCAGACTGGCTGGGATCTCACCCACTTTGAGCCAAGGAATGAGAGTTCCGACAGGGACGTGGGAATGGGTCGGGGCAACGGCCCACGGGCACAGAGGGCTCCTGCTGCCACCGGTCAGCACCGCGGGTGCAGGATACGGTGAGGTCGTAGCGCAGCGCCAGCAGCTCCCCGCCCTGGTCCCGGAGCTCATAGATGAGCTTGCCCCCCTCTCCGTACTTGCCCGTCAGC